GCGGAGGAGCGGAGCCCGCGGCTGGCGCCAGGCGGCCTCTTTTGTTTATCTGACAGCTAAATATCAAGGCGATCACCGCCTCGCGGCCCTGCCTCCAACCCCCACAGCTAAGACAAACAGTTGGGCTGAAAGAATGCCTCTGTTATCGTAAGTTTTTATCTCTGGTTCTCATGGCTCGGCCTTTATTTTCTCTTACTTTCTTAATTCCAGAGTCTCCTCCTCCTCCCTACTCCAGATACCCGATGGATTTTCTCAAACCAACTGGTGAGTGGATGATTTTAAAAATATCCTTCGTCTCTGGAGTGAGACACAGAGCCTCTAGAACGCGGGTTTTTATGTCCTGGCAGCGGCCTGGGGAGGCGCTGGATTTGCCTGGAGGTGGTTATAGGTTTCCTGTGCTGGAAGTTTGGATTTTTCTGTTTTTGTTGTGGCTGGAGATTATATGTATGCATATATGTATATGCATGCGTGTGTGTGTGTGTGTGTGTGTGTGTAACGTCAGCAAGGGTTTCTTAGATGTGCTTTGTAATTTGTTCTTTTTTCCATGTATTTGCACCGGGATCAAATTGGCTCAGGTTTATTAACACGTGGAATTGGATCCACGCAGAAGTGTCTTGGGAGCCAAAGAGGACAGGTTGATGGGAACATTTGGAGGCTTTGTGAGCGCCAGTGGAGTCGGGGGGAAGAATGGATAATTCGGTGGAAGGGAAGGCAGTTTAAAAAGGTGCAGAGAAGACTCTTGTTGGGACTAAAAGGTTTAGAAGATGTAAGAAGCCAAGACAAAACCACCCTCATGGGTTTCCTCTCCTCCCTCCCCGGCAAGTCAGCACTCCTCCCGGATTTTCTCAGAATTCTAGGTCGGGGCTATAAAAGTTTCTGGCATAGCTCTGCCTGCCTGTTGCTTTGTCACCGGGTGGCATGGGGCCAGGGCAAAAGCTCATTGGAGACTGGCACCAGCCCTGTTGTGATTGTCTGCATTCAACTCCTGGCTGGCAGTGCAGGGCTCACCCTATGGAGCTGGCAGTTCCCCGGGGGAGCTGGGTGGGGGGGGGGGCGTCAGCAAGGCAGGGAAGGCAGGGCGTGGGGGTGACCAGGGGGTGGCCCTGTGTCCAGGAGCCCCTTCTTAGGGAGGGAGGTTCCTCAGCTGAAAAGTAGTGATTGTAGCTTTGAAACTCTGTGCTCTGTGTACTGGATGCCTGGAAAATAGAATGTTATTTTTTGCCAAGGTTCTGAGAAAAGTGAAGGGTTGGGCCTCATTTCGCTCTTGGAATTCTACAAGTCCTTCGCCTCCTGAGTTTTGCCTGCTGGGCTTTCCCCCCACTAATTAAAAGTTTTGCTGGGGCGTTGTCATAAATTAAATACTTTAATGAACGGTGTAACCGAAGCCCACAGCCCTCCCGGGACTCCACGCCGCTCCCTCAAGTCGGGCAGGCGTTGCTGCTTGCCCGGTGCCTGTCTAATAAGTGGCCTGCAAAGCATGTGATATTTTGCTTTCGATTTACAAAACACCAGATAAATGGTCATTAATGAGGAGATAACCAGCTCTCTGTATTTGCAGCAAATGTTCACGGAAATTATCAAGCCCTGTTTTCTCAAAGAATAACTTTGACAGGGTTTTTTGGCTTCAAGACCCAAGAATTCTTTCCTGAGGTTAGCTCTCCAAAGGCCACCTCTGTCCTGTTTTGGTTTTTTTCTTCCATAGTCTTCAAATTTGGAAGTTTTCCCCCAAAGAGAGACAGACCAGTCACCTTGACCACCCACCCCCCTGGAGTAAAGGCAACTAAGGGTAAAATGTCCCCAGAAACCTATACCCATAGAAGAAAAGGGTTATATTCTCTTGGGTTTCCTGCAGATACCGGAATAAGCCTGTTCACCGGATTTAAGCGGCCATCCTGCCAGGCCAGGACATTTCAGTGAGTGGAGTGATATATTTATTCATTAGCAAGTGTTGACATTAGGTAGCAAAATGTGTGTAAACAGAGAAGCCACAAAGACAGGAGTGTGCCATTTCCAAGGGGGAGAAAAGTTCTGCAGATCAGCCAATAGGAAGTGATTAACCCGCCAATCGGAAACTCAGACAGCTGGTTACTCACCCAAAATGCTTTGTGTAAAATAAAACAACAACAACAACAAAAGAAATGAAGAAACGGTGGTGGTGTTTGAGGACATGGAGGGTGGTAACAGGGGAAGCCCCGGGGAAGGAACTAGCCTGACACATGGAAGGGGCTGGGGCTGGTTCTGCTGGCTACTGGGGCCAGGGGTGATGAGGTCAGATACACAGATGTGGGGGGTAGGCGCTGCCCACGTTTTTCTCCTCACCTTATATGTGGGAGAAGAATATTTGGCTGGGGAATTTAGATCTGCCACTTACATGCATTCTTTATTACTTAAAATTTTTAAAATAGATTTCAGAGAGGAAGGGAGAGAGGGGGTTTCTGATAAGAAATATACTTATGATCTTATTGATAATTCCTTGTACGTGACAATCTCCAACTGCTTTCAACATTCTCTCTTTGTTTTTGAAAGTTTGATTGTAAACACTGGATCTGCAACCCGGGCATGTGCCCTGACCGGGAATCGAACCCTGACCTCCTGGTTCATAGGTTCACTGAGCCACACCGGCTGGGCTGCCACTTACATTCTTAAGTTTCTAAGCTCTGGGTGGAATTTTTGGTCTTGGGTTACTAGGTGAGAACCAGTCATAAGGCTTTTACAATGGACAACTGTTAAAATCTTAACCAGTTGCGCAACTCAGGGAATCCTTTCTGTGAAGTCCTCCAACTTGAGAAGCGGCAGCGGGAAGGGGGCTGGGTCCTAACCTGCAGCCGCCGGAGGGACCCGGGGCTGAAAGCCACGCTCCGTTTTGCTGTGGTTCACTGCCCCCTCGGTGAGGGCCTGGCGCTTGTTGACCTGGGTGCCAGGCGGTCCCGGCCAGCAGCATTTTCTAGGGAAGGAGCATTAGAGTAGACATGGCTAACCTAGGGACAGGGTGGCTGTGTGCCCTGGGGCAATCAGAGTTACGAAGACCCTGTCCTTCCCTCATTGCGCAAAGGGTAAGGGCATGGTGTTTGCAGTTAGATCTCACTTCATGGAGGGGGTGGCTCTTGGGCCCCCATGGTTTGAGGCGTGGCTGGGGATGGGGGCTGTTGCTGGGGGTTAGGCCCAGGGAGCTAGTGTTCATTGGCAGATGGAGCCTCCAAGTCCAGTTGAGAAGTTAGGGCCCTAACCTGCCTTTACCTGCTAACTCGGCCTACTCTGACCTTTTCCAGGCCTCTATAAATCCAGATGGTGAAAGAGTTACCATTCATTTGCTCAGTTTTTGCTTCATTCATTCATTCATTCTGCAGGCCTGATGATGTGCCTGCCTAAAAACTGGGATACTTCCAATGCAGTAGGTTGTCCTTCTGTGACCAGGGTTATGGATTGGGGCAGAGCTGGGATGCTCCGTGTTTGGTGGTGGTGGCGGCGGCCGTGGGTCCTCTGTCCTGGACGGCATTTAGGAAGCTTGGAACTAAGTTGACAAGACTATCCTGGCTCTGGACACCTTGTACTCCTCCACTAATCCCACTGATCCCCAGGCTTGCATCTCCTAGGACAGTGGTCTCCAACCGGTGGTCCACGGACCCAGTGGTCCGTGAGGTCCGAAAGGTTGGCGACCACTGTTCTAGGACTCTCGCTGCTGGGAGAGGGAGTAAGCGCCCACAGGCCCCACACTTGCTGGGTGCTTGGCAGTGTTTAGGCTTTAGGAGTGTGTGCCAGCCTGGGCTCTGGGGAGTGGGCATCACCAGCTGAAGCGGAGCCCCTGGCTTTGCAGCTGTTCTCTGGCTGAGCAAGCGATGGAGGTGTGGCTGCCTTGACCTTACTTTACAAGCCTTGGCCGTAGCTTGGGGCCAGTCTGGATGCCTGGATGCAGAAGCCTCTTGGCCTGCCTGCTGCAGGGCAGGGAGCGAGGGCTCTGGTGGCCTGGGGAGGGAGCGTTTGGGACAGGTGCTGAACCCTTGGGCATGGCCCAGCGCACCGGGTGGTCCCTTGGGCTAGTCAATGACGCCTCAGTTTACCTGGGTGCCAGTCGAACAGGTATACTTTGCTACTTCACAGGGGTGGTAGAGAGGCCTAATTAATGTTTGTAAATCCCTCCTGAGATCAAAGACTCTGCAGAAGGGCAGAGCACCATTTCATAAAAACGCCTGTGGTTGCCAGTGCGGAGCTGGCTTACCTTTGATCTGAGACAGGCCGACACCCTGAATGTGGTCCCGGCTCTGCTTCGAGAGGCCGGGCCCTTCCTTTGAAACACACCTTGCCCTGGGATTCAGCCAGCCAGGACTGGGTGGGGGGAGCAGAGCGGAGCGGAGCGCCCTGGATAAGTCATCATGGTTGATGTGGGAGTGTCTTCCATTTGGGGGTAGGTAGCAGCCCATCTATAGAACATGCAAAGACCGTCCAAGGAGCTTAGAAAGTGCAGGGGACACACCATGCAACAAGCAACTCCATTTCCTGCCCTCCCCCATTGTTTTCCATTTGATTGAGTGTATCCTGTAAAACTGTATATTCCTGTTAAGAATTGTACTTTGCACTGGTACAATGTGATCAGACACAGGCTCTCCCTTCCCTGCCTCCCACCACTCCTCATTTCCCCCTCTCCTGGTTAAGAGAGTTCTTGAAAAGTTGTTTTTCCAGCCTGAGAGAATGCCACAGAATGCTGGAGAGGGATGAGAGAGAGCTGAGGCGGGTAGGCAGCAGAAACCCAGAGGTGCCTGGGGGTTACCTGTAGGCCCCCCACCTCCCTTTATCGGGTCATGGAAACAGCTGCGGGGCTAGTAAAAGGCTCCCGTGGGCTACTGGCCTCCGGACTGCGCTTTTGCTGGGTTTCCTATTGACCAAGTGGTTTCAGTGGGAAACTGTAACGCTCATCCAGGTGCCTCCTGCTAGTGGCCTGGGCTGGGGACCGGCATCTGCAACGTCCACCCTGGTGTGGTGTTTGCTGCCCAGCCGGAAGCCCCTTCTCTGAGCGAGCCTTTCTCGCCGGACTTGAGTAAGACGGGGTCTGGTGTCGTTTTGTTTCCTGGGACTGATTAGTTCTGATTTGTGGGCATTACGTTTTGTTTTGTTTTAATTGCTTGGCGGGAAGTTGGCAAGTCTGTCTGTCGATTTCTCAGCTCGGTTTTCATTATCCTCATTGGCTCGCAGGTCACTGGGGCTAGGACCTGAGGGTTCCAAAGTATAGTGAGCACAGACGAGATCTGAAGGGAATTCACATGCTGGGTGCCAGAAAGCGAGGGCAGGGAGCCTTGCAGGCCCGGGGTTGCCCGGGAAGGTTTCCAGAGATGGGGAGTGTGGACTAGACCTGGAAGCAGGTAGAGAGCATTTCCCCTCCGGCTGAGAGTCTTGCTGGGAATGTTCTTGCTCTTGATCTGGTGGTGGCTCTACACAGGTGTAGGCATGAGTACAGGTCATGGAGTTATACCTGAGAGGTGGATTCTCTCCTGTGTTTGTTGCGCCTCAGTTAAAAAGGAGAAAGAAGCCCCTGTAGCCCAACCCCCGTCTTGAGAAAGTCCTCAGAACTGGGAAGTTTGTCTTGAAAAAGATGAGGGTGAGACAGTGGACCATGGGGGTGGCAGAGAGACCCCTGGGTCCCGGCAAGGAGACCCTGGGATCCATGGCAAGGAGACGGCCGCCAGGGTTGAGAGTCAGGACCTGGGCCCCCTTTGACCTTGGCAGCTACCTGGTTTCCTCAATGGGGGAGAAATTCCAGCCAGTCTGCGATGGAGCCTGACTTGACTAATGATTAACTGGCCTCGGAGGAGCCCAGACGGGGGGACAAGGTGCTGTGGTCTGTCTTACGATGGGCAGCGAGCCCTGAGCGGCCCATTCATACTCAGCCTCGTGGCTGGGAGTCAGCTGTTTGGAATGTGTGGTTTCTCTTTAATGCTGGTTAGAATGTGCTTAAAAATTAATCTTGGTGTTTTTATTTATTTGTGTATTCATTTCTTTCTCTCCCCTTTTCAAATCCGCAGCAGACTGTCCAGATGCTGTGCCTTCCTCCGCTGAAACAGGGGGAACGAATTATCTGGCCCCTGGGGGGCTTTCAGGTAAGACACCTTCTCGGATTTTCCTGGCAAATTCCAAGACCTTGAAATTACTGGAGATGGAGGAAGGGGGTCGGGGGAAGGGGTGGCCAGCCTTCTGTCACCCCAGCTGGTCTGGGATTCTCACTTTTCTGTGCATGAAACTGGGTGTGATCTTGGTGTCGCTGGGGCCCTTCAGCTCATCATTCTGAAGCCCCTGACACACCAGGACACAGGGCCGCTCCCTGGATGAGGAAATGGGGTCCACCTGGGATGGGTGTTGTGCTGTGTTTTATGGTTGTTGTTAAGCAACTCCTGGCTGGGGGCTTCCACTTGGCGACCTTGTTGTCATTAGTTCATAGGTTTCAGCTCTTGCTTTTGCTCTTGTCCTTTGGGCTTTGGGCATCTCCAAGGGGAAGGGTCCGATTTTCGGGAACTTGTCGAAGGCAGATCCCAAGTGTTGGGTGGGCATTCAGAGCAGAAGCCCTTGGTGCTGCTCCACATCCTAATTCCCCATCCAGCTCAGGGCCAGATGCCGGATGCCAGCGACAGGGTCTGGGCACTAGACACAGGCACTAACACTGCTGCTACCCAGAAGGGAGGGTTTTCCTTAGAGCTGGGGGGTTATGGGATTGGATGAGGGGCCTGGGGTGGCCCGAGCATCATTGTTCCTGAGAGAGGAGAAGAGAGTGATAAACGTGGAGAAACTCACTAGCAGTGTACCCGAGAGGCATTGCTGTTCTTTTCCAAAGCCATCCTGTTTCCACCTGTCTTTCCCGCCCCAGGATGCCACCACTGGATTTTCTAAAAACCAGCTACAGCAAGAGGAAAGTAACCCGGGGGAACATTCCAGCAGAGTCTGGGCATTTGTCCTTTCTTGCCTTTGTTCGGGGCACTGGTGTAGGACCACGGCGGCTCAGAGGGAAGCTGTGAGACTGTCTGTGCGGGACGGTGGTGCACCCTCTCCTGTGAGGTGCCTGACAGGTCGAGCGGCGCTCAGGCCCAGGTCATCCCGGGCAGCCCCGCCCAGCGCCTCTCCAGGAATGGAGCTTGCGGAGAGTGTCTTCAGGGAGACCTTGTTTGTTTTTATTTCTATGCAGTATATACTCTGAGTGTTATCTGAGACCGAAGGGATTGTTGACTCAAAGCTCCTAATGAAAACTGAGCTGGACAAAGTGGGACCCCCAGAGCGGGGAGGGGGCTCAGGCTGGGAGGGAGGATGGGAGGCCAGGCGGGAACGTGGGAACTGTGTCTTTTCTGCCTTCTAAGGCTCCGAGAGTTCCTGAAAGAAAGAAGGCCAGGGAGAGGAAAGGGTCTGGGCAAAAGAACACTGGGGATGCTGTTAGATGGTTTTGTTTTTTAAATCCTGAGCAGGCAGGAGGCACCAGCCCCTCTGAACCACATGGAGTAAGCAGGGGAAGTGGCAGCTTTTGAAAGGGGGCCTTGGGAAGGCTTGTCTGATTGATAACATCTTCTCTGTCTCCTCTGCTAGAGGAAGTGACGACACCTCCCCCTGCGCCCCACTAAACAGGACACCCCACGGAGCCCCTTCTGAGATGGGTGGGCTTCCTGTCCCCAAAGCTTTTCCAGTTCTAGAAAGAAACAGTGTGTGTGTGTGTGTAAAACAGTTATTAATCCTACAGTTAGATGAATGAGGAGCTGCTAGGAAGGCGTGCTTGCCTCTGAAGGGATCCCGTGGTTTAACAAAACTGCAAGAAGGAAAAAAAGGGGGGGCCTAACATGAAAGAGCATTTGTTTTGAATTTCAGCTCTTGATTTACTAATTCCCAAGGCTTCAAAGTTTGAGCTCTTTCTTCTTTCCGTTCGGAGTTGGAGCAGTTTATTAATAATGTGCCGCAGGGGGGAATTGAAGAAATTGTGTTTTGGGTTGGTGCCCGCGGTTTGGGGGTGTCTGGAGGGGAGGTGATGGGCCTGGAGAAAACCTAGGGTTACACCCTTTGCATCAAGAATGCCCCCCAAAAGATGATTGTACTGGCCGGGGGCCAGGGCAGAGGGTTTTGTAAATGGAGACGGCCCAAACCTCCTCCTCTGCAAGAAGTTGATCTTTCCATGGGGGGGTGGGGGGCAGGGCGGGGTGTGTCTGCCTTGCAGAGGATGAGGCC